TATAAATGTTTAATCTAAGCAGGGGAGGATATAAACTATATAATAATAATAGGTATATATATATATCTAAGGGAGTCTGTAAGAGTATAGAAAAGCATTTAGTAGGTATTATTATTATATATATAACTATATAGACCCTTACATTCCTTTATAGCTTAGGTAGAAGTATAAAAGGGAGCTAGAATCTATTAATATTAACAAGATGTATATAGGGCAGCTGCTAACCTACCCCCCACCCTCTCATGATTTAAAGACTCTACTCCCACTGCAATGAACAATTATCCCATCAAAATAGGTCAGGGTTAGTTCTAATTTATAATATCTAGACTTAAAATTGCAGCAGTTCAGTTCTAACTAGGGTTAGACTCACCTGAACCCAGACCGAATATAACTCGAATAATAGATAGTATTAACCTAAAATAGTTAAGCTCTCTATATTTCTGAATTAGAAATAACTCTAAAGATAAAGCTTATAGAGTAGAGCTATATTATAAAGGGCTATAATAGTTTATAGGTTATTATATGCAATTAAAGGTTATAGTATAAGGATCTACACCTGCTAGATTATATTATTATATAATATACCATAGATATCTTCATAGACCACTAAGTACTATATAGCTTAATAATTAGTCCTCACTTAGGTAATGAAGTTATCTTACTCTCTCTGTACTAACCCTACTAGTTATCACTATACCTTATTAGCTAATAGAGCCAATAGATGCATAAGTAATAACAATAACAATGATGATGATGTTGTTGTTGCTGTTGTCAGAAAGCTAGATTATCAGGGAGTAAGCAACATAGATGTACAGAGTACTGTAAATAACCCACAACGTTTTCTACGTGATCATACCCAAGGTAGTTTTCTATATGCTATAACTAACCCAGAAACCCAGGATAAGTACAGGCTAGGCAGGTAATAATAATAATATTTGAGTTAGCCACATGATTTAATCGAATATCACGTGATGCCTGTGTAGTCTTGTGATTTAAGCTGCAAATATGGCTAATGATCCCCAAACACTTCGGTAAGCCTGCAATATCAGTAATGAAAAATAAAAGCAGTTCGATGGATTATAACGAAAAGCGGAAATCTAATGATTCTGGCAGTGATAATGAAACCAACCCTGCGCTGAAACGGCGGAAGGTTTTTGGACCAGCGTTGCCATCATATTGTGTTGTGGACATCGGAAATGAGCAGGGCGCTGAGAGTACCAGAACTGATAGTCTCAACCACGAAGAGGAAGATGAAGACGAAGATGAAGAGGCTGATGATGATTATGGTCCCAGCCTTCCCCCTTTGGGTGGTGAAGTTACTGCAAATCCCAATGAGGTCAAGGTGGACAACGAGTCACATAGGCAGTCAGGAAAGCCAGATGCCGACAACAACAACTCTGAGCGTGATGTTTGGATGTTGCGACCTCCACGACCATCAGATTTGAGCTCCAGGCTTGATCCGACTAGGTTGAAAAATAGGAAGTTTCAAGGAGGGCAATCGCTCAGTTATTCAGGGGAAGAGGTGGATATAACTTGGACAGAAACGCCACAGCAAAAGCTGAAGCGCTTGCAAGATGAGGCCATGGGGGTTTCGTCCCGACCTGTGCTCAACCATGGTAGATCAAGCATTTCAATAGCGTCGAAAAGCCCACTGAGGCAGCATGTAAGTCTCAGCGGATAACCATTGAAGTCTGATATCAAAAGAATGCCTAATCTGATGCCTTTCCAGGATGCAACAAAAGCGTCTGAGAGATCGCCACCGTCCTCCACAAATTCATTGATGTCCTCTTGCAATGATGATCCAAGTTGTCGTCCTTTCCGGTGGGAAACGGATATGGCCTCGGCGCCAAAGCTGTCTACTCTACAACATCAGAAGCAAGTAGGTGAAGCTGTGGACTTTGCTTCAAAATTTACCAAAGGGAAATATCTGTAACTGAGCTGTCTGTTGATATCAGACTAGCCAACATACTCAATCTGTACTATACCACTAGCTGACTCGCGTTTAAATCCCAATGTCTATTTGAAAGCTGTTCCTTGATGTGCATATCATGTTGATATTTAATTATTATTCACTAAGATATGCATATTATTAGGGTTGTCATACTCTGATATGTTATACTATATTTGATAGGACTACTTATGTGTCAGGGAGCTAATAAAGATAGTTATTACTTATTAGTATAAAGTCTATGCTGATGAGTTTATACTTTATAACAGAGATGATAGTAATCTAACTTATCTTATCTAGGTAACTAGCTATATTTAGTATATAAGTAATATTGGTATGGCCACCTTATGTTGACTTTGAATGTGAGGAAGATAGTTGACTTTTCTAAGTTAATGTAGCTAAGGAAATTAATAATCAACATGAGATATCATGTAGTTACATTTTTTTTATTAGTAGAGTAATATATTAATAGGCTAGTCTTTAATATAATTACTATTATTAGGGGCCTGAAGGCTACCTTACTATAGGACTATCCTATAGAAGTTAGTACAGAATAAAATAATGCAGAGAGGACTAAAGAATATATGTATATACATATATCTAATTTATTATCCTAATAGGCTATCTTATTATTATAAAACTCACATTAAGTGCCTTTTAAGTACTAAAAATAGTTTATATAGGTACTAGTGAACAGACTATACTATTTACTATTATTACTAGTTATTTCAGGTGTGGAGACATAGAATTAAAAAATACTATTATTGTTTATATATTAGCTATATAGTTTACTAACTACTTCTCCTTTAGCTTAGAGGAATATAGTATTATTAGTAATACTAGTTCTTTAATACCTTATAGACTTCCTTACTATTCTTAGTAGCCTAGTCCACTGTATAAATGGGATTAAGGAGTATAATGTAGCTATACTAAGTATAAATGAGCTTTAACTTCTTATTCTATAGCCTAGACTGCACCTGATTAATTAGCTATATTAAGTAGTATTATTTTAAGAGGATTAAGAGGATTATAAGTAAGGATATAGTAATAGATAAGTTAGAGAATTTAAAAAACTAATCTAAGAATAGTAATGATAATAGTAACCTATATATTTATGTGGTATTAATCTGTATATATGACTTTAATGAAGTCTATAAGAGTGTGCAGAGGATATTTAGTAGATGTTATTAATATATATATAATTATATAGACCCTTATATTCTTTTATTACTTAGGTAGAATTATAAAAAGGGGCTAGGATCCCTTAATATTAGTAGGATATATATAGGGTAGCTACTAGCTTACCCTCTATCCTTATATAATTTAAAGACTCTATGCCCTCTATAATAAATAAATATCTTACCTAGTAGTATATCTAGAGCATATAATTATATAATACTTATTCTTAGGAAGGTTTAGATATTTTATTATGAACTTAATCTAAATTATAATAACTCTAGAAAGTATAGTCTCCCTATTATTAAGGATATTATTAATAATAGGGGTTTAATAAGTACTTATATTAATTATTCTAAATTAGTAGAAGGATTAAAGATTAAGTATTTTAATATTAAGAAAAATCAACTACCATTAAAAAGCTT